GGGAAGCTGAACCAAGGACGTATGGCTCTTGGCTAAGAGCAGAATTGGAAGGTCCCAATTATTTTCAAGGATGGAGAGGAAGGACTTTTTCATGCAAGACCCCTTTGCTAAGTGAAACTCATGGCAAGGCTAAGTTACCACCAAGTATGGCTGAGACTATGACGCGGAGGAAGTAGTGGTAGTGAACGGAACTGGCAATTCCGTGAATGCAGCTGAAACAGTGACCGTTTCGGAAAATCGAAACCATGAAACACGCGACTTTGCCTCTTCCACACTAAAGAAGATTTTGAAAGTTAATGAGGGAATTATTAGGGACGGTGCGGACGTTATGCATGTTTAGTCGCCTCATGATTCAATTCCCAACGTCAATTCTACTGGTATGATTGGAAAATTAAATGGTGAGTTTGCTAGGGCTTTCGTATCGCAATTGAACACAATTAATTAAGATGGAAGATCTGTGGGTGCTAGTCATGGGCTGAATCCTGGAGCAATACCTTGAGTCTAACTCCTTAGGCCCAATCTCAGTGACTAAATGGAAAAGATGAGCCCTAGATTTAGCTCCAAAATATATTTCAAGTGGAGCTTTCTCATTCCAAGTCCAGGGAGCGTACGAGTCTTCGAAAAGAAGGGAAGGGCACGGCAGTATGGCTCAATTTATTGGATCAAAGAAACAGAAGTGGTCCAAAGTGGTTCTTGAAAAAATGACGAATTCACAAAGTTCTCGATCCGTGGTGGGCTCAGTTGGTCTGGCCCACCACGAGTCATGATACTATTGAGTTGGAATGCTCGGGGGCTTAGGAACCAACGGACATTCCGTGCTCTACAGGAAATCCTCAAAGTAAAGCAACCCAATTTGGTTTTCTTGTCGGAAACCAAAATGAATGTGTATCATATGGAAGGGGTACGAAAGTGACTTGGTATAGATTATTGCTTTAGTGTGAACAGGCGTGGGTTAGGTGGAGGTTTAGCCCTTCTATGGAATAAAAATTGGACAGTAAGGCCATCTCCAGTCATAGGGCTAAATGTAGTCCAGGGCTAAAAATTTAGCCCTCCAAAATATTAATTTTTTAAAGAATAGTGCAGGGCTAAATTTTTCCATCTCTAGCCATGCAAGGCTATGTTTTAGGATCCTTCATATTTTATTATATATATTCACCTATAACATCAACTCACTTTACTATTGGCTTTTAAAAAGCAAATGCATGGGCCCCCAAAAATTTGGCCTAGACTAAAGGTGGGCTATATGTGGCCTGGTTGGAGGGCTAAAGGGCCAAATGTGGCCCTCCAAATTTGGCCAAAATTTTATTTAGCCCACGGCTGGAGATGGGTTTTGCATTATTTTAGGGCTATATTTGGGATATAGCCCATGGCTTGAGATGGCCTAACTATCTTATCTCACTTTTTGGTTCATATCCATGCTATTGTGAAGGCTCCAGATGGTTTTTCTTGTAGAGTGACAGGTTTTTATGGAAATCCTGTGATGAATCAGCAGCATCATTCTTGGGAGCTTCTTCGACGTCTATCTCAGGTGGGGTCGGGTCCCTGGATTAGATGCGGTGATTTTAATGAAATTTTGGAAGATAAAGAGCAGCTTGGTCATTGATTCAGAGCTTTATCTCAAATGATGGACTTTTGACACTGTGGGAGCAAATATTTTCGTCTCCAATCAGAGCACGCCACGTGGAAAAGAAGATTATCCCTTAAATTAATTAATTAAACCATTTGTTGGGATAATTAATTAATTTGGATAATATCTTAATTATATGGTATTATCTCATAATTAATAATGATAATATCATTAATTGGGATATTATCTTATAATTAATGAGATAATATCAATAATTCCGGTATTATCTTATCAAAGGGATAATATCCTAATTATAGGATATTATCTTATAATTAACGAGATAATTCTGATATTATCAAAGTCCGACTCAATCTCTACGAAACCCTAGCCCCGAGGCTCCTATAAATAGATGACTTCAGTCATCATTCAAGGTACTTCAAAAACCCTACTTCTAAACCTAGCTCCAAAACTCGAGAAAATACCCAAAGCTCTCTCTCCCTCTCCACTCTCCACTCTCCATATTTTCTCCACACGGCTCCGGCCACCACACACGGCTCCGGCCGCCCGGTTTACACCATACAACTCCGTACCCTTTGCTTAGCTATTGTTTTCCTACAAATACTCGAACTAACTTAGGCATCGGAGGGCCTTTGGCCAACACCCCCCGGGTGTGGTCTATTTACTCCAATCTTTTTTACAGGAACCAAGAAGGAGAGAGAGAAGGAAGATCAAAGGTTGAAGGATCTAGAAGCGAATATTCTCCTGCGAGATTATTTGCACAAACAGACATGCTTTGGAGGACTGTGATTTGCTGGCCATTCCATTCAAGGGTTACAAGTTCACTTGGGATAATGGTAGAGCTGGGGTTGAGAACGTTAAAGCCCTGCTTGATCATGTTGTGGCAAATAAGGGATTATGGCAAGCTTGTGCCAATATGATCACTTATCATTTGGATTACTTGGAGTCTGATAATCTTCCTTTGTTAGTTGTGACTGACAACAACTCTCAAAGGGGTTAGAAGCTACTCTTGCTCAAATGTTTCCTACAAAAGCACCAGGCCCTGATGGTATGCCAACACTTTTTTTCCAGAAATATTGGCATATTATAGGTGACAAAGTCACTTCTACATGCTTGCAAGTTCTGAATGGTAGTGGGAGTGTCAAACAATTTAACCACACTCTAATTGCCCTTATCCCAAAGATTGCTCATCCCTCTCATGTGTCGGATTATAGGCCAATCAGTTAGTGTAATGTTCTTTATAAATTGGTGGCCAAGACTCTTGCCAATCGACTCAAGGTGGTTTTGCCTCATGTTATTTCAAGTTTTCAGAGTGCATTTGTGCCTAATCGTCTTATCACCGACAACATTATTGTTGCTTTTGAAACAATCCATGCCATTAAGAGAAGAGGGCCAAGGGGAAGGAAGAAGATTGCTTTAAAATTAGATATATCAAAAGCTTATGACTGAGTTGAATGAAATTATCTTGCCACTGTGATGGCTAGAATGGGTTTTCATGCTAGATGGGTCTCTATGATTTTGGATTGTATTTCATCATTATCCTACTCAGTCTTATGCAATGGTTCCTTATTTGGTCATATTGTTCATCAACGTGGTCTTCACCACGGTGATCTACTCTCGCCATATTTGTTTCTTATTTGTGCTGAAGGTTTCTCAGCACTTATAAGGAGGGCACAATTGATGGGTTCAATTCATGGAGCACTACTACAAAAATTGAAATAGACGACGGGGAAACACCGTCGTCTTTTTCTTTTTCAAACCGTCGTTAAATCGACAGTCGTCTTTTTGAAAGTCAAACTACGACGGTAATTAACCGTCGTCTATTATATGTAAAAACGACGGTTTTTAAAAGATCCGTCGTCTATTAAATGTAAAGACGATGGTTCTATAAAAAAAACTGTCGTCTATTACATGTAAAGACGACACTTTTTCTAAAAAACCGTCATCTATTTAAATGTAAAGACGACACTTTTTCTGAAAAAACCGTCGTCTATTTAAATGTAAAGACGACACTTTTTCTGAAAAAACCGTCGTCTATTTAAATGTAAAGACGACACTTTTTCTGAAAAAACCGTCGTCTATTTAAATGTAAAGACGACACTTTTTCTGAAAAAACCGTCGTCTATTTAAATGTAAAGACGACACTTTTTCTGAAAAAACCGTCGTCTATTTAAATGTAAAGACGACACTTTTTCTGAAAAAACCGTCGTCTATTTAAATGTAAAGACGACACTTTTTCTGAAAAAACCGTCGTCTATTTAAATGTAAAGACGACACTTTTTCTGAAAAAACCGTCGTCTATTTAAATGTAAAGACGACACTTTTTCTGAAAAAACCGTCGTCTATTTAAATGTAAAGACGACACTTTTTCTGAAAAAACCGTCGTCTATTTAAATGTAAAGACGACACTTTTTCTGAAAAAACCGTCGTCTATTTAAATGTAAAGACGACACTTTTTCTGAAAAAACCGTCGTCTATTTAAATGTAAAGACGACACTTTTTCTGAAAAAACCGTCGTCTATTTAAATGTAAAGACGACACTTTTTCTGAAAAAACCGTCGTCTATTTAAATGTAAAGACGACACTTTTTCTGAAAAAACCGTCGTCTATTTAAATGTAAAGACGACACTTTTTCTGAAAAAACCGTCATTTATTATATCCAAAGATGTCTATTAAATCTAAAAAAGACGGTTTTGTTCCAAAAAATCGCCGTTTATTATCTGTAAAAATGATGTACTAATTTCATTTTAGATATCCTAAAAAATTATTTCTTTCATAAAACTTGAAGATTCAATTGTAATTACATTGTTTACCAATCTTGATTCCTACTATATCCATACAAAATACCATATTTATAACATTATAACCTATAATTACAAAATACCATATCCAAAGCATTAACCTATGGTTGTTGTATCTTCCACAATTTGTACTTGTTCTCCACATTCAGCTGTCATCTTGGAGTAGTGTTCTAAGTCATCTTGGTCAAATGGATCTTATATTCTTCTAAGTTGTCATCTTGGCCTTTGAGCTACACTTGTGATGAATATTATCTTATAAGAAATCACTGATGAAGATTGCCTCTCATAAGTCAAACTTCGTGCAAGTTTATATTGACCACAGTGGAAAAGAAAAAAGAGGAATCCATCCTACATTATATCACAACCAAACCAAGAAAACATATTAAAATCTGCTTCTAAAATCCTTGCTTAATTGGCCAATTTTTAATTTTTTTTTTCAGACAAAAAAAAGGGCCAATTTTAAGAGAGAATCAATTTTGAACTGTTGACCTACAAAATTATTAGAATCGACCAGTGCTAATGACTAAATTCAGTACAATCTCAAAATTCAGATTCAAAGCTGGCTTCATCCATCAGAATGAATCACAAAACACTCCTTTAGACCAAAAACAGAGTAATAGCTAAAAGCTCCAAGACAATTCAACCAACATCAGCAAAAACCAAAACAAACCCAAGTAGAATTCAGCAAGTTAAAGTCCAAATTCCATCAAATTACATTAAATCAGACCAAAATTAACATTCTATATCAAATCCCTAAAATAGTCGATGGTGTGGATTTCTTACCAGCTTTTTATACCCAAAGCCCTAATTCCTAAATCAACTCACCAGCATCTTTAATGGAAGAACCTAAATCAAACAAAATAAAACATACACAGTTTCTTCGATAATAAACCAAACATAATAAAACATACCCATTGCAAAGTGTTCGCGAGCCAATCATAACCAGATCTGACATTAAAACCCTCATTAAAATTAAAAAAATCAAAAAAGGAGAAGAAGAAAACAGAGAGAGAGAGAGAGAGAGAGAGAGAGAGATTACTTGGGGTTTTTCCCTTCAAATTAGTGCTTGAGCTTGGTTCGTTTTCAGAGGGAGAGAATAAATTTTGGCGAACGAGGCGAGTTCGGTGGACTGAACGCGGTGAGCTCGGTGGACTGAATGACGCGATGGAGATGGCGATCTCTGCAAACTCGGTGGATGGTGAGAGGGAGATGTGCTTCATCGATGTGAGAGAGAGTTGAGAGAGCGAGGGTTTTGTGAAAGTTTCGTGAGAGAATTTGAGATAGCATAGTGTCTGAGAGAGCGAGTGTTTTCTGAAAAGCTCCGCTCTCGAGAACTTAAAGTGAACTGTTGTTAGCGCCTCCTGAAAACACGACGGTCCTGATAAGGTATGGTCGTAATTTTAAAAATCAACTTAACATATTGGTGTATTAGGTGCTTTACCAGGGCGGTGTTATAAAATTGGTCGTCTTTTAAAATACCACGACAGTTTTTATATAAAGGGTCGTTTTTTGGATGTCGTAGTTTAACATAATTGTAGTAGTGGAGTGGCTATCGCAAGGGGAGCACCTTCGATAAATCACTTGCTTTTGGCTGACGATAGTTTATTATTTTGTGATGCTAATATGTCTGAATGTCAGAATCTGAAACACATTTTTGACATATATGAGAAGTCCTCATGCCAAAAAATTAATTTTGCTAAATCTGCAGTCTCATTTAGCCCTTCTGTAGATGTCAATAGCCAGCAAGCTATCTCATCTCTACTTGGAGTTCCTGCAGTGATTTGTCATGAGCATTATTTGGGACTCCTTACCATAGCTGGAAGAAGTAGGAGGGCATTGTTTCGTGGTATAAGAGATAAGGTGTAGAAGTGCATGCATCTTTTACAATGGCCCCATTCTAAGATCTTCTCTTCTGTTTGAAGATCCACTTCTTCACATATGTCTGGCATGATGTTCCCAATTGATCCAATTATAGAAGTATTGAGGAGGTATGATCAAAATAAGTTAGGGTTTTAGTTAACCTCAAGCTTCACCAATGATCAAAACATATTGAGAGCTAGGTTTAGTGTCTATACGTTAAAGCTCATTTAGTGTCTACAATTGAATTGAATTGAATTGAATAATTCACTAGGTTTAAAGGAATGTTGAAAGAAGAAATTATGAAATTCTATAATATTGCTCAAGAAGAAAGCCTACCTCACTCAATTCCCCATACTCGTATTTTTTAATATCTTAAAATTAAAAATCCTTCAACTCACTTTTGCAAATGACAGCCCATAGTGGTCATATCACCCCATCCTTCTAAAAGTGTTTGGGTATTGACTCTTTGTTATTGATAATATTAAAGTGATCCTTGTAGCTGATTCGCTTTTCCTAAAATGGACAAAAACATCTATTAATATCAAGGTGAATGTTGTGAATTTTAGACAACCTAAAAAATGGAGATTATAAAAATTAGTCTAAACACAAATTATACTCGCAAGTGCACAAGGTCAATTGTAATATAGTATGGCAAATACGAGGTCATTCCCACAAGGATTGAGTTCAACTTCCAATTAGTCTAACCTAATTTACTTCACAAAATACTTTAACCACTCTAATTATATAAACAAGAAATTAAACACGTAGCATACTCACGTAAACACAAAAGGGGTTTTTGAAAGAATGATTTAATTAACAACAAAATTGAAAGACAAAACAAGTAAAAAGTCACGAAACACAAGGATGAGAAATTCAAATTGATAAAAGCACTAGGACAATGAATTCACCACTAGTAATCCAATCTAGCCTTTTTATTCACCTACCTATTAACTAACCAATTGATGTCCCTGCTTAGTTTTCCTTTTTCATGAATTACCTATGGTATTTAGGCTAACTCATATATTCCTACATGCAATTTGCCTACGGTATGTAGGTCAAATATCAACACATAGAAACTCATTAAGATCAATGAAAACCTCCAACAAGCATGTAAACCCTAGGAGTATGGTATTTACCCTAGACGAATTACAAATCCTAATCACAAGAAGCAAGCCTCAAATCAAGTATGGTATTTACTCTAATTTGCATCCGATTAACTAAATTAAAAGTCTAGATGGTGATCAAGCATCAAGATAATCAACCAAATTATTAAGCACAATGATTAAGAATCCATCATCACATGGTAATCAATAGATAGGTAAAATAAGAAAACTAGATTATCATACTAGGGCTACATCATGCCCTAGCAAAAGAAAATTAGTTACCCATAATCATATAATTCGACATAAACAAAAACATAAGGAAGAAACAATTAAACTTGGCCAATTGCGGTACTCTTCCGGCGTCTCCAATTTCTCATAGTCTTTGCGTCCCTCCCCCCTAAAGGAGTTGTTTCTCATGCTTAAATAAAACACCCCACGTCTATTCTTACCCTAGCTGGGCTTTTACAACGGCCCAACAATAAAGAAAAACCTAATTAAAACATAAATCCAAAATGGGTAAGTAATTGACTCTTCTTCCTACTTGGACTGGGATAACACGTCAGTTATTTTGCATGCACGTTTGGGGTTGTTCCTCCTCCAAGAAAATTCATCAAAAATATTTAAATTGTAGGTTTTTGTCTTATCTTTCAAGCCATATATTGCACGCCTTGAGGAAAAATCAAGAAAGTCTTCAAATAGTCATTCTTCCACAGTAGCACAGTTTTGACGGGATTGCACCTTATGCTGACTTAACTTCAAAGACTGCTCTCATTGGCTGCTCCGAAAATTCTAGAAAAATTCCACAATCATCTTCAAGGTATTAGCTTTTATCTCCAACTGGTCTCGTAATAAAACTCCACCCAAAAGTCGTAATTCCGTTGAAAACCAATTACTTGCTCTAGAAAGTTGAAAATTGAGAAAATAAAGTAATAAGTTCTTTTTAAATCAAATTCTCCTACAAAAACTAAGTATAAAGAGTACATAAATATATAAATTTATGGACTTATCAGTGAATCATTTGACCCGCAAGCAGGCCCTAATGTACCTAAACCCCCTTTTATTTATTTATTCATTTATTCTCTTAATATATAACTTAACAATTACTAATTTAAATGCAGGCCTTTGTTTGTCTTCTTTCCTAGGATCCCATATCCGATTCACGTCAAAAAGAAGCCCTTTCTAGGCCCTTCAGATTCACTTTCTAAGAGGTCATTCTTTGTCCCTCTCTTGGATTACGGGTCATATCATGCGAAAGAATCAGTATTTGATCCAAGATGAGCTGGTAGTCCCTTCTTCTATTCAAGGACGATAGCGGCCCGGCAGTGAAAGCAATTCCAATGTTCGTACACGCGCTAGTTTACTTAGTCGGAGGGGTTGCCAAGTATACTACTACTAGTGATAAATGAAAAGATTTGAAAATATGACTAATTGTGTCATTAGATAAGTTTATCTTGTTTTCCTTTAATTTTGTTGTTTGAGGTTGACGTCCCAAAATAGCTTTTTTTTTTTTTTTTCTCCGCCATTATTCACCTCTACCTCAATTTCCTCCTTTTTAACATATTTGAATTTAGTGAATTATAAAATTTCATTTGACACAACACAAAAGCACGGGTAATGGGAATACACAACACAACACAACACAAACATCGGTAAAATGACAACTACCGTCGTCTCAAAGAATACACATGATGATATTGGTGTTACAAGCCCCGTGTACCAAAGGAACCACGTCTATATTTATATTCTTTCCGTCGTGGTAAGCGCACTAACAACAACGACCAGGTGAACAACGCCGGTCATTTACCGTCGTAGTAATTAGACGTCAATTTTTATTTTTAAAGCTGACGTAGTATGTCTTAACAACGCCAGTCATTTACCGACATAGTTTTATGAATCAAACGATGGCGGTCAATTTCACGACCGTGAATTCATGTCGTCTATTTCGATTTCTGTAGCAGTGTTTACCTACGTATCTTTCATATTGTCATATGAAAACTTGTGTTTATGTACAAGAAAAAGCCACCAGTTACCAATGCCCATGGTGGGAGGGTGGGTAGTGGGTAGTCAATGGGGAAGTTTGTGCTGAGTTTATTTATTTTTTAAGTTTAAAGTTTTAAATTTTTGAATCTTACTAGAAGAGTAAAATTGGACTTTTAGAGTGTTAAAACTAAACTTAAATTTATGGCAGTTGACATATCATGTTACGGGTTGACAGATTATTACAACGACTAAGATTAAGCGAAATGCGAGAAAATGTGTAGATTCTAAATGCAGAATCTTAGAATCCATATATCACATCCATATACTTTCTCATTTAAAAAAAGAACTTTATTCCACTCAAAACGAAACAAAAAAGAATTCATGCCGCCTTCTTTCTCTTGAACTCTTATTATTATTATTTTTTTATGGAATATACTAATATACTAAGAAAGCAGCTATTCCTTTATTTTAAGAAAAGTGCTTAATTAGCCTATACTTTAAAGCTCATTTAGTGTCTATAATTGAATTGAATTGAATAATTCACTAGATTTAAGGCATGCTGAAAGAAGAAATTATGAAATTTTGTAATGAGTAATGCTATTTGGACACACAACATTGACACACTTAGTGACACTCGCTAATGTGTCAATGTATCATTTGCTCTTCTTTTCTCTTCGTTTTCTGTTCAACGAATGATACATTGATACATCTGCGGGTGTCAACTAAGTGTGTCAATATTGTGTGTCCAAATAGCATTACTCATTTGTAATATTGCTCAAGAAGGAAGCCTACCTCACTCAATTCCCCAAACTCGTATTTTTTTAATATCTTAAAATTAAAAATTCTTCAACTCACTTTTGCAAATGACATCCCATAGTGGTCATATCACCCCATCCTTCTAAAAGTGTTTGGGTATTGACTCTTTGTTATTGATAATATTAAAGAGATCCTTCTAGCTGATTCGCTTTTCCTAAAATGTACAAAACATCTATTAATTCAAGGTGATTTGACCCGCAAGCGGCCCTAATGTACCTAAACCCCCTTTTATTTATTTATTCATTTACTCTCTTAATATATAAGTTAGGCTTTTTATCACAAATGGTCCCTGACATTTGCGAAATTATCACATTTCGTCGCTAACGTTTTTTTGTGACACTAATGGTCCTTAAGATTACCCTCTACACATCAAAATGGTCCCTGCCGTTAGTTTCCGTCAAATTTTCTGTTAAGTTGCTGATGTGGCATGTGTGTAGAGCCCACATATCTAATAGTATAAAGCCACATGGCTTTAAATAAAATAAAATATATTTTAAATATTTTAAAACTTAAATCCATAAAAAAGAAAAAGAAAAATATCTGCACTTGCATTCTCACTCTGCATGCGCGCTTCCCCCCTCGCAGACACACCTTTTGCCTCTCTCTCCCTACTCTTCCTCCTCTTTCTC